GAGCTGGGTGCTGGGCACGGGGGATGCTGGGGGTGTGTGTGTGGGTGCACTGCATGCTGGCACACGTATGCACACGTGTGTGCCTGTGTGTGTTCACATGTGCCGCAGGGGATGGTGTCACTCGCCCCCCACCCTGCACCTCAGCCCATTTAGGGTCTCTGGTGCTGCCTCCAGGGTGAGATAAAGGGTGTTGGAGGAGCAGAGGCAGCACAGGGGACTCCCAGGGGTGCACACTCAGGTGTGGGGATGGGGACATCCCACAGCCAGTCCCCCCCACCACCACTGCTCGTGGCTACAAACCGGCTCTCCAGGGTCGCCCTTTTCTCCCTGGAAGGAAAGTGAGACATCCTGTCAGCACCCGGCTCTGAGGGTCCCCTGGCCGCCCAGGCCCCCTCACCGTGCTGTGCCTCGTGCCCCAGGGTACCACCCACCCCGTGCCAGGACCCCCGCCCGCAGTGCCCACTGCCCAGCTCACCTTGGGGCCCGGCCCTGCCAACCTGCGGTGCCCTCCATGGTGCAAGTCACACTGCAAAGAGGGGGACACTGGGATGAGCGTGGGGTGCCCCCACCCCAGCACCTGCAGTCCAGGGCCCCCTACTCACCCTGTAGTCCCCCGGTGGTCCTGGTGGCCCCATGGGACCGGGCATGCCGGGGGGTCCTGTCTCTCCGGTCCGGCCAGGGCTTCCCGGCATGCCTGGCAGTCCATACTCGCCCTTCTCGCCCTGTGGGCGCACGGCACAAGATGGTGAGCGTGGGGGCTGAGCCCCCGTGTGCCCCCAGGCCCCACAGTGGCAGGGCTGGGGCTGCCCCAGAGCCCTTCGAGGGCTCAGGGCTGGGGATGCTCCCCCCGGGGCAGGGCAAGGGGCTGGTGAGCCCAAGTGCCCCAAGCCGAGGATGGGCTGGGCTGGGACCCCCTTACCTTTAGTCCTGGGAATCCTGGCTCCCCTCGGAGCCCCGGTTTGCCAGGGAGTGACGCAGGTCCTGTGGGACCGGGGGGTCCTTCGTGCCCTGGCACCCCGGGGGGACCCTGAGGCCCTGGGAGCCCTGGTGCCCCCGGGGGTCCGTCTGGCCCAGCCGAGCCTGGAGACCCTGGAGTTCCTTCAGCCCCGGGAAAACCGGGTGGTCCCACAGCCCCCGGAGGACCAGGGGGTCCCGGCTTTCCCTCCCGCCCAGGGACCCCCGGGGGGCCATCATGGCCTGGGTAGCCTGGGGGTCCAGGCATGCCGGGCAGCCCGGGGGGGCCTGGGGGTCCTGAGTTTCCCACAGGGCTGGAGGGTCTCAGCTGCTCATCAGGTTGGAGGGAGAGGAGAGAGAGCAGGATCAGTGAACCGCCGTGTCCCATGCCCTGGCCCCCTCCCCTGCGCTGCCCACCCGCGCGGCCGCGTGTCCCAGCCCTCCCTGTCCCCCGCCAGTCCCGCCGGGAGTGACACCGCGGGCAGCGCCGGCATCACCCACCCGTGTCCCCGCCCCGGCGCTCACCTTGTTCTCCGATGCCTCGGGGAGGGCGGCAGGCGCGGGTGGGCTCCTGGCTCCCCAGATGCCTGGGGGTCCCGGGGGCCCCGGGGGTCCTGGAGGACCGGGGGGGCCCCGGGGACCCTGGTGACCTGGCTGTCCTGGGCTACCAGGCTTCCCTCTGTCCCCTGAGATTCCGGGCTGGCCTCTCTCTCCCGGGTACCCTCGGTCACCTCTCTCTCCCTGTTGAGGAAAGACAGACCGTGGCTCCGGGCTCCTGGAACTTCCCTCCACTGGAGCCCATTACAGGGACCTGCGGACCCCCTGCCCTTGGCCACCTGAGTCACCCCCCAACTCAGACCCCAGAGCCACAGTCCAAATCCTGAGCAAAAAGGGTTTTGCACAGACAAAAGAGCATCTCACAGCGTGTCCTTGTGGGTTCCCTCACACCCCTTCCCCTTCCCGGGGAGGATCACCCCACCTTTGGGCCAGGAGGGCCGGGGCGCACGGGGCAGACGCAGCTGGAAGCGTTGAGCACCTAGAGAGGGAGACAGAGGTGGGCTGAGGGACTTGAGCCCAGCTGCTGGGTCCAACAGTGGTTCCCTGTGCCTACCCCTCACCTGGAGGGCAGGGTCCGTCTCTGGGGCCGGGGGCACCCCCCGGGACAGCCCCTTCGCTGTGGTCTGTGTGGAGGAGAGGAAGGGCTGAGTGTGAGACCCCTGAGCACCATCCCTGTCCCTCCCTGCCAGTCCCTCCCACTCGCCAGGGCGCCCATCCCAGGCTGCCCCTCTCATCCCCCTGGGGACCAGGACCCCTCCATCACCTGGATCTGCAGGAACTCCTCTTCCACCGCGCTCCCCTCGAAGATCTCTGGGGCGGCCGTGGGTCGGCGCTGCTGGAGTGGACAGGGAATGCTCAGTACAGGGTTTGGGGGGGTCCAGGGGGGCAGGTGGAACACTCTTGCAGTCGTGGCTGCCCCCAGCCTGGGGTGGGGGCCCAGCCCCAGTGCTGTTGTGGGGCTGTGCCATGTGGGAGGACACTGGGAGCTGCTGTGGCTCCTTTCCAAGGGGAGTTACGCTCAGGGCTAGAGCAGGGCACAGTGCCCGGGCTGGGCACAGACAAGGGGAAGGACATGGCAAGGAGCCTGGCAGCAACTGGGGAGTTTTGGGAGGGCTGGAGGAGCCAGAGGGGGAATGCTGCCCAGGGAAAGGCACCTGGCCTCGTGTGCGTGGTGGGGCATGGCCTGGCCCTTTTGCTGGCCCCCTGGCAAGGTGGTCCCGGCGTCTGGGGGCCGTCACCAGAGGGGGTTTGCTCAGCAGCACCTTCCCCATGGGCTCCATGCTGGTCTCTGCATCTGCAGGAGAAAAGAGGTGATGGGGCAAAAGGCGTCAAGGCTGGAGGGGGACTGGGGTGGCACAGCACTCCCAGTTCCCAGCACCTGCCACCCAGCATTGCCACAGCAGTGCCACCAGCAGCCCCAGACCCCAGCACCCCACACCTCACCCTCCACCCTCCAAGTGCCCCCTCCATGCTGAGGTGCAGGAATCTGGGGTGCTGCCCCCACCACACCCTGCCTACCTTCCTCCCCATCCAGGGTGGAGGTGCTGAGGCTGGTGCCGGGATCCGGGGTGGTGTCCTCCGAGCCCAGGTAGAACCACTGGGCCGTGGCAGGGCACAGGCGCCCGGCCAGCACCAGGAGGATGCAGAGGGTGCGGAGGAGGTCCCAGGGGCTGCCGGACCCCATGGCACTGCCTCTGGGCTTGGCTGCCGCCCAGGATGGGGGTCCTTGGCTCTTCCCGCTCCCTGCTCCGTCTGCGCCCGCGGTCCCGGCACGGCGCCCGCAGTTATCACGGCGGCCCCTGACACGCCCCTCGCCCGCCCCGGCACCCGCACCCCACGGACCGCATCCGGCAGGTGCTGAGCACCGGGGCTGGGGGCACAGGGCTGTCCTGTCATGGGGGCTGCACCGAGCACCAAACACCAGCACTGAGCCCCCTCCGTGGCCACAGGGCTGTGGTTGGGGTGGGAGCAGCACAGCTGTGGGGGGCACCAGCCTGGCCCTGCTCCGTCCCACAGGATGGTGCTGGGGCAGGGACCTGGAGGAGCAGTGCCTGGGCAGAGGGGGGATGCTGGCACTGCCTCTGCCCGCAGACACAACAGCCTCCCCAGTGGGCGAGCGGCGCTGCCAAGGCCTGATAAGGTGATGCAGCCCGAGTGGGGCCAGGCACCTGTTTGGGTTTGGTCCCTACTGGGACACCGAGTCAAGGCTGCTGCCTCTGCCCTGAGTCATGGCCACAGTGCCAGGCAGGGCAGGGGCTCAGAGCAGCACCATGTGACGATGCCTTGTGAAGCCCCTGCCGGGGCCGAGATGGGAGAAGGGGGGCTGAGGAGAGTGGGGGACACGGACCCTGCCTGTCCCTGCCCTGCCTGCCCTTGGTGCTGTCCAGTTCACCTGCACAGGAGAGATAAGATTCTCCTGAGAGCACCTTTGGCAGTGCCACCAGTGCCACCCATGCTGGCACTCAAGCCTCAAGACACCAGTTTGAGCATTAGATGTGCTCACCCATGACACAAGTTGGGGTTCTCAGCCCAGGCCCTGCATTCCAGGCAGCTCTGCTCCTCTTGTCCCACCCACTACACTGACCCCCACACCAGAGCCCCACAGGGCCCCCCCCATGCCATGTCCAAGACCTCCCTGCAGTGCCCACGACCCCTTTGCCGCACCCAGAGGGGCGCTCCAATCCCGGTGCTGGCTGAGATGCCCCAGGGCGCAGCTTGGGGGTCACCAGCCCCGGGTGATGCTCGGGGACCTTTCCCCCGGGAACAGTGGCCGCTCCTCGCCATCTTTCCCCCCTCCCGCCGTGCCGACCCGCCCGGTGCTGCGGGGACTGCCGGGACCGGGGTCCCGGGGGGGATGCCGGGACTCCCTGGGGTCCCGCCCGCTCCCGCTTTTCCCGAGCAGCCACTAGGTGCCGGCAGCCTTCAACCTATCCCGGGCTGTGCGGGGCGGGGGCCGCGGGGGGCGCGGGTGCGGGGAACCGGGGGCAGGTGGGCGCGGGGAGCCGGCGGGGCCGTCCCGGGCAGACCGGGGCCGAGCCGCCCGGGATGCGCCGTTGCCAGCAACGCTTTCGCTTCCGCCGGGGCCCCCCGCGACCGGAGCCCACCCCGGGGGTCTTGCCCGCATCCCCCGCCGTGCAGCCCCGCACGGTGTGTGGGTGTCCCCAGTTTATCCGGTTGCTCTCGGGACCGGGCGGAGTGTAGGAGGGCAGCGGGTAGTCTGGGAAGGGGCGCGGGGCCGGGGGGAGGCTCCGGGCCGGCTCTCCGCTCTGCCCGGCGCCGGAGCCGCCCCACCGGTGGCCCCGCTGCTGAAGCCGCCGGCGGTGGCGGTGCCAGTGCGGCCGCCGCCCGCGGGGAGCGTCGCTGCCCGGTGGGTCCCCGGTGGCGGCGGGGGCGGCCCCGCCGGTGGCCCCGGTGGCGGCGGCGGGAGGTGTGGCCAGGGGCCGCATAAAGCCGCATAAAGCGGCCGCCGCCGCCCCGCGCCCGCCGCCAGCCGAGCGCCGCGGAGCGGGGCCGGAGCGGGGCCGCCATGCGCCCGGGGCCGGGGCTGCCGGCGCTGCCGGTGCTGCCGGTGGTGCTGGCGCTGCTGGCGGCGGCGGCGCGGCCGGGCGGCGGCGAGGAGGCGATCCAGTGCCCGCCGTGCTCGGAGGAGCGGCTGGCGCGGTGCAAGGCGCCGCAGGGCTGCGCGGAGCTGGTGCGGGAGCCGGGCTGCGGGTGCTGCGCGACCTGCGCGCTGCCCCGCGGCACCGCCTGCGGCGTCTACACCGCGCGCTGCGGAGCGGGGCTGCGCTGCTACCCGCCCCGCGGAGAGCCGCGGCCCCTCCGCACCCTCATGCACGGCCAGGGCATCTGCACCGACCTGGCCGACGTCGAGGCCATCCAGGAGAGCCTCCACCCCCCAGGTGAGGCGGCGGAGCGGCGGCACTGGGTGTGCGCCCCGGGATGGGCGACCGGGGGTCCTTCTCGCTGACAATGGTAGTGGCACAACCCTCTGTTGGCACCAGTTCGCTCCCTGCTCGCTCGATGAGAGCTGGGGCTGCGGGACGGGGCTCGTCGGGGACCTTCCCATACTTAGAGGGAGCTTGCAAAAATTGTGAAGAGTGACTTTTACATGGGTAGGTTGTTACAGGGCAAGGGGAAGGGTTTTAAACTAAAAAGGGGAGATTTAAATTGGACGATAGGAGGAAATTCTTCCCTGTGAGGGTGGAGAGGCACTGGCAAAGGTGCCCAGAGTATTTCTGGATGTCCCATCCCTGGAAGTGTTCAAAGCCAGGGGGGACGGGGCTTGGAGCAACCTGGTCTAGTAAGTGGTCTTTAAAGTGTCTTCCAACCCAAACCATTCCATGACCCTAAGGATGGGATAGGACAGCCCAGGGATGGGAATGCAGGGAGCGTGTTCCAGGGAGGGAGCAGGGCTGCAGGAAACCCAGTACACGTGGCTGACATTTGTGCCACCCTTACCCACTGCGGACACAGCAGTGCCACGGCCAAGTGGCACTACACGTGCTGGAGTGGGGAACCACCTGCTGTGCCCCCCTGGCTGCAACGTGTCCCCGTACTGAGGGGCAGCCTGGAGTCCTGCAGACACCCACAGCCCCTGGGGACACATCCCAGCTGCTGGAGAAACTCCTGTTGCACAGAGGCCCCTGTGCTGCCCCTTCCCTGGGATGCTGCCGGGAGTTCTGCCTGCACTGCTGGGAGGAAACAGGAAAGAGGCCGCGGGGCACCTGCTTCCCCCTCAGGCAGGTCCAGCTGGATGCTGTGCCGGGCTCTGCCAGGAGCTGTGTCTGTCTGGGCAGGGCAGTGGGGTACAGGCAGAGCTGGGCTGGAAGAGCTGCTTCCTGTCCTTTCTGCCTACGACTCTCTGCCCCGGGACTCTCTTGCAGGTGTTGATTGTGGCCCCCTGCCATCCCCCTGGTGCTCAGGCAGGGTCTGGGGGCCAGGAGCGGAGCTGATGCTGGGAGCTCAGCCCAGAGCTGTGCAGGTCGCACTGTGGGAATAGAGCCTCTCCTGGGGGATGAATGTGGGGACCATCACCCGTGGGTCTGGATGCCATACTCCCTTTTCATATCCATGGACTATGTCCCCTGAAGCTGGGGAGCAGCATCCCACTACGGGATGATCCATGAGTTGACCTGGCCCTGGGTCCCCACGAGGGGTCACCTGGGGCTCCCTGTGGGGCAGAAGGGACTAGAGCAGTGTCTGTCCCTATCCACCCTGAGGGCCGGATCCCAGCTCCGTTCCCTCCTTGCACGACTGGTCCATGGCAGCTCTGCCAGTATCCCCAGTGTGAGAAGTGCCCTTTGTGGATGGGCCCCTCCAGCTGCTCCCCCTGCAGAGACAGGAGCTCTCCGGGAGCGCTTGGCATGGGGTCCATTGCAGAGCCCCCCTGCCCTGCCTGTCTGTCCTCATCCCACATCCTGCAGGAGCTGTCTGGGCTCCCTGGCCCGGGGCTGCGCCGCGCTGCCAAGCCCTGTTGGTTTTGGCTGTGCCCCGTGTAATGCAACATTTTTTCCCAGAGCCTTTAGGAAACAGACTTGCATTTTTTCCCTTCCTTCCCGCGGTGTTTTGGCCTGGCTGGGGACGGGTGGGTGGCCGTGGGAGCCGGGTCACCCACCGGGCATGGCGATAGCCGGCGGTGTCACAGGTGGCAGGATGGGCGAGAGGGCACTGGGAACCCCTGTGTCCAGAACAGCCCGGTGGGACGTGGGCAGGACACCCACAGCACGTTGCTCGCTCTGGTGGGACACCCAGCTGTGGGTCCCTGACCCACTCCAGCAGCCCAGAGCCAGTGGGAGCGTGGGGCTGGGGGCTGCAGGCTCTGCACAGCGAGGGCACCCTGGCCTCTGATGGGTCCCCTTGGGATCAGCAGAAGGGAATTAATGCCTGTTTGGGGGCAGGGCCGTAGGGAGCAGGTGCCCCTGGCCGTGGCAGGGAGCGGGTGCCGGGAGCGTTCCCGGCGGCCGGGAAGCGGTTAACGCACAGCTCGTACAGTAAACACTTTGTCTGGGGGCTCTGTCCGGGGGGCTCCGCATTCCAGGGAAGAGGCTGGGATCGGGGGGCTGGGCTGAGGCTGGGCTTTCCGAAGGGTTGGACATGGCTCCCGGCTCCAGCAGCAGCAAAGAGCCTCTCTGCTCACCCAGGACCCCTGGCACCCACGGGATGGGACTCTCAGGAAGCGAGGGATTGGGTGGCTACTCTCCTGACCCAAAACCCTCTCCCGTGGTCGTGGGTCTGGGCACTTTGTGTCGGGCCCTGTCCCTGTCTCCCTCTCCAAGCCCTGCCAGCTTCTGTCTGGCTCCAGAATCCCACTCCTCAGCCAGAGCCCTGTGCCAGGGCCGGCTCCAGGAGGTCCCAGCCATGGCTTTCCGGCACAGCCGCTGGCTGGCGGTGACTGAGCCCGTGTGTGGCAGCCAGGAGGAGGTGAGGACATATTCCCCAGCACACATGACGAGTGATTTAATGCTGGGTAAATGATTATGTCTGGGAAAACCTGACCCCATGGGAGCTGTGTTCATCCCGTGTGGTCTCTGCAAGCTGGGACAGATCCTGTTTCCTTCCTGCGTGCAGTGACCAGGAGGGACAGTGATGGCTGAGCCCTGTCTGGACAGCGGGCAGGGAGGGCAGGCTGAGTTCAGGCAGGCCAGGCTGTTTGCCATGTCCCACCTGTTCCCTGGGGTGGAGGTTCCTCCATGCTCTGGTTTCTCCAGGCTGGGTGCTGCTCCTGGCAAGGAATCATCTGTGGGGAATCATCATCTGCGTTTGAATCCCTCACTGCCTCTCCTGCATCCCAGCCTCCCTTCCATGGGGCCCACATTGGGTGAGGGGTGGTGGGGAGGCAGGGGGTGCCCAGGTGGCAGGAGGTGCCTGGTGCTGGTGCTCCTGGCACCCACATTTCTGGCTCCCCGCACTCCACCAGGGTCAGTGCTTGGCAAGACACAGATGTGTCCCTTCTGGCCCTTGAGGCATGTGGGACCTTTCACGGGGAGCTGGTGGCACAGTGGGGAGCAGGGCTGGAGCTCTGACACTTATACCTCCCCAGGGACACACACACAGAGTCCTGGGATTTCTTTGGCTGCCCCAGGCTCTGCTCCCACAGGATCCGCGCGGTGGAGCCGGAGCCCTTCACCGCTCCCTGGGGCTCAGTGCTGTGAATCACAAGTTCGGCACGTGACCAACCTCATTTGCAGCTCCTGTTAATTGAAGGCGATGCTGAATGACTCGTTTGTGTCCCCCCTCCCCGTCCACAGTCTGGGCAGGGATCCTCCTCCTGCCAGAATGGGTGGCAGGTCTGTGTGACCAGCGAGAGCAGCACCCCTTCCCATCCCCTTGGCACCCACTTCCATCCCAAACTGAGCAGACTCATATCTGAGTGTTAAAAAGCTCAATCGAGCAGAAGGCCCCCCCTACCCTCCCTCCAGGGGGGTGGTGGCCATGCATGGGGTGGCAGGTTGGGCTGCACCAGGGCAGGGTGGCGGGTGGCGGCTCTGGGTTCCACACACGTTGCTTTTCCCATGCCTTTTTGCTGAGTGTGAGGAGTTTTCTGGTCCCAGGCAGGCAGGAGGTTCCCTGAGCTGCTGTGTGTCACTTAGCAAGGGGACAGCCACCCCAAGGACAGCAGAGATCCCTGTGGCAGGGAGGGGTGCTGGAGGGTGCGAGCTGGGGACTGCGGGTCCCGAGTGCTGGCAGGAGCCGTCTCGCTGCCTGGAGGCACCGGATTTTCATGTGACCTTATGAAAATGTTATTGGCATCTGGTTTTATTTAAGCCGGGAGATTTGATGCTCTGGAGGCGTCTGGTGGGGGAAGGAGGGGGGGTTGGCTGCGCTGGGATCGGTGAGGGCTTCCCCTACAGGGGCAGTGCCGGTGCCTCCCAGTCCTGCCTTTCCACGGTGTGGGAGAAGCGTGTGGAGGTGCCAGGAATTCAGCACAGTGGTCCCCACGGGTGCCAAATCTTCTGCCCAGCTCTTCCTTGTGTTTCCCCATGGAAATGCAGAGGAAGGAAGGAAGGAAGGAACATCCCTGCCTGTGCCCCCGGCTGGGCGCTGCCACCAGCGCCCGCATTGCGCCACGGCCCCGTGGCTGGTGCCATCAGAGCTGGCACTGGCACTGCTCTGTGCAGGGTCCTTTGGGTCTCTTCGGGTTCGTGTTTCAAATTTCAAGGGCATGAGCCATTTCCTGGAAAAAGTGGACAGATTAAGCAAAAAGCAAATAACACCCACGAGGGAGGGGGCTTTTGGTTGGGGCTTTGCTGTGGACTTTAACCAGGCCCCCAGGAGCTGGGCCAGGAGCCCTGCACTGCAGGAGCCACGGTGTGAGGTGCCAAGGGGAGACCAGAACCTGGATCCTGGCAGGGTGAGATGAGCAGGAGGCTGTGGCTCTGACCCCACTGCCAGCCTGTGGGAAAGGCCAGTGCTGGGCATCACCTGGTAGCCCCTGCTCTGCTGCTGTGAGTCCCTGGGTGCCACCCTCTGATGGTGACTCCTCCCTGCCTGGTTTGGGAAGGTTTTCCCTGCTGCCAGTCACAATATTGACTCATTTAAGCCCAACCCCAGGATAACCTCGGGCAGGGAGCCCTGGCTGCTTCCCTGGACAGCCCAGGTGGGCTGGGGGACAAAACTCTGCTCGGGCTGTGCCTGACACAGCTCTGAGCACAGGTGGGGCTCAGCTCCTGGGTGTCTTCCCTCCACAGGGTGTAAACTCCAGCCCCAGGCTGGAGGAACCGGCAGCTTTCTGAAAGCTCAACCCCGCCGAGCACTCGTCTCATGACGCTCCGTCCAGCTGCCAACATCTGGGCCGGCAACTTGGCTGCGCTCCTGGCGCAGGAGGGGATGCCAAGCGCCGCCTTTCGGGATCGGCCCCGTGGGAGATTAACTTTCTTATTCCAGGAATTTCTTCTTTCATGTCTTGGCGGGGGCCGTGCCCCGCGGCAGAGCGCGGCTCCACTCCCGGCTGCGGCGCCCGGTGCCGCCCCAGGCCTGGCGGGGGCTCAGCACCACCCCAGTGCCCCATTCCCACTGCAGCTCCTCAAAGGCAGATTTTTGGGGGCACAGGGGGCTTCCTGGGGTTCCCTGGCTGTGCATCCCAGGGTCACCTTCCAGCCCCGCGGCTCTGGTGCTGTGGGCGAGCACCCGGTGCCTGGTGGCACGTGGCTGGCAGGGACACAGCCAGACCCAGCACATTGTGCATTTGCAACCCTACAATAACAGACACATGGCAACAAGTTGCTAATCACGGCTAATGAGTTGGGAAAAACCCCAGGTGCCTTTTCCAGCGCTGCAGGGAGCTCAGACCAGTGCAGTGGCAGGGGCAGAAGGGGACCCAGGGCCAGGGGTGACACCTCTGGGGACAGGAGAGCCTGATATGGGGTCTGGCAGCACCAGCTGCTTGTTCTTGCTGGGGGTGCAAGTGGCACTGAGCCCCCTCGGTCTGTGTTCCTGCAGAGAAGGAGGAGATCGACCACCCCAACAACAGCTTCAGCCCCTGCAGCATCCACGACCGCAAGTGCCTGCAGAAGCAGCAGGCGAAGAGGGTCAACAACGGCAACAAGATGCGCAGTAGCGGGAGCCCTCACCACCGCGAGGACACGCGGCCCATAGTGAGCAGGGGCAGGGCTGGGGAGGGCAGGGTGGCTGCTCCAGCCTCGGGGTCCTGGCAGTGCTGGGGTGGGGGCACGTGCCAGCCCCACGGCCGGCTCAGCCCCTCCTTCCCGCAGGCACAGGGCTCGTGCCAGAGCGAGCTGCACCGGGCGCTGGAGCGGCTGGCGGCCTCGCAGACCCGCACCCACGAGGACCTGTACGTCATCCCCATCCCCAACTGCGACCGCAACGGCAACTTCCACCCCAAGCAGGTAGGACGGGGGGCCTGAGGGAATGGGGGCCGTGTGGGCCAGGCTGGGTGTCCCTGACTGAACCTGTCCCCGCAGTGTCACCCGGCGCTGGACGGGCAGCGCGGCAAGTGCTGGTGCGTGGACCGCAAGACGGGGGTGAAGCTGCCGGGCTTCCTGGAGCTGAAGGGGGACTTGGACTGTCACCAGCTGGCGGACAGCATGTGAGCGTGACCGTGGCGGCCCCGCGCCCAGCGGCCGCCTGGGACAGGAGGAGAGGGGGCCGTGAGCGCCGAGCAGCGCCCTGGTGCCGGGGCACCCCGGGGTGAGCTCCGGACTGTGCTGCTCTGCGCCACGGGCTGCCCACGACCCGCGCCATGACCACTACCCGCCACTGCTGGGGATCCTGGCACACGCCAGCGGCCCTTCCATCCCATGGGGACACGGCTTTGGACGGTGCTGCCCAGGGGCTGGTGTCGGCCTGCCCGGGTGGAGCTGGTGGGGAGCACCCTTGACGCTGGTGCCCCGTGGTGCCCCCTCAGCTTTTCACCCCGGCAGCCCCCGACACCGTGGGGTGCTGTGGCAGGCTGTGCATGCCAGACCTCTGCATGGGCAGCAGGAGAAGTGCCTCATCCTGCCCCCCACCCCCAGCAGCAAGAGGCTGCCTAGGGAAGGACTGGGGGCACGGAGAGACCCCCCCCCCACTGCTGCCCGCCCTTTCTGCCTGCATCTCGCCCAAAGTGTGTGTGTGTGTGATGGGCAGCGCTGCCACACAGAGCAATAAGAGACCTTCCCCTCCCCCGCTGCAGCCCCCCATTCTCACAGCCCAGCCCCATCCTGCTCCCCTGCAGGGACATGGCCCCCCATCCATCCTGTCTCCTCCTGTCCCATCCCTGGGATGAGGATGGTCCTCACAGGCATTGAGTCCAAGGGAGGGTGGGGGGGGGACGAGGGAGGTCCAGGAAATGCATCCCAGCAGGAAGAGCTTTTGGTCTGAGTTTTTTCTTTCTTCCCCAACTGTTGTTTTTTACTATTTAAAAAATACCATTGGTGGGATCTCAAAAGTGACGATGTGGCCCTGAAGCTGGAGTTCTCCAACCCCAGGGACAGGGCACTGGGGCAATGGCTCCTGTCTTCGCTACTTGGCCAACATGACAAAACCAGGAAGGGTTCTGGAATGTCTCCATGATGGGATCTGCAGATTTCATCAGCAGAAAGTTCTCAGCTGAGAAATTGTCACTGGTTTTGTAGCTGTTCTTTTCCCTTCTCTTTTCTTTAAGCTGGGCTGGAATTTTTTCATGTAAAAACGCCATGGCAAGCGTGCCAAAGATGGAGGGGACTTTCCTGATCCCCTCCTGACCTACCCCAGCTCTGTGGCCTCAGTGGAAGCTTTTGGTTTTCCACGTGGATTTGCCCTGGCCAAGGCCCCCTGATGGGAACGAAATGTTTCAGTTTTAGTGAAACACACTCTGCCCTCCTGATCCTCTCCCTGCCTGCCCCTGTGCCCTGCCAGATCCCTGCCTGCCCTGGCTGTCCCTGTGCCCTGCTGGATCCCTTCCTGCCCTGGCACCCCCTGGATCCCTGCCTGCCCTGGCTGCCTGTGGCTCTGCTCACACACAACTTCTAAACGGAGCCAATTTGCCAGGACAGTCCTTGGTGGGGAGGGGGATCCCTGCCCCTCTTCTCTCCCAGTCCCCCCAGTGCCACTGTGCCAAGGATGGGTGTCCCAGGGGGACAGGAGGTCCTACTGGGGACGGTGGCCAGTCATGGTGCCAATCCCGTTGTGGGGCACAGGGTGTGGTGGCAGTGCCAGCCTTGGCCACTTGACCCCTCCCTGCCCACAGCAGGGCAGATCCAGCGGAGCCTCTCCCAGTTTGGGGGGTTCCTGGGAATGCCGGTGCACGTTCTGTGTCCTGCTTGGAGGGCTCCAGTGTTTCGCAGTGTCTCTCCTGTAGTTTAGGGCTGTATTTACACACGACCATGTACCAGTGTCCCCCCTCCCCAGCGCGTCCCCCCGTGCCCAAGGGGTCCCTGTCCGTCCCTCCTGGGCCAAGCCCGTCCCGTTGGACTCCCGTGTAGCACCAACCCTTTTACAGTACACTTGAACCTTTGTATCCTCAAAAAGAAAAAAAAAAAAGGTAATTACTGTATTTAATTTCCTGTTATCTGATGTTTTTCTATTGAGTGTGTCTTATTTTTTATGGCTTTAAGTAATGGGAGAGGGGGGAGGCAGAGCAGGAGAGAGGGGTCTGTGGGATCCCACCCGTTTGGGGACAGGCTCCTTTGGCCATCCCTGCCCAAGGACTCTCCTGGTCCTGCGCTGGGCTTGGGGTTCAGCAGCCCTGAAGGTGCCCCGAGGGCTCTGGAAGAGCTTCACGAGCCGGGAAACAAAAGATTTCTTGCCTCCTTGTGACTCCCAGCTCAGCCTCCACCGGTACCACCGGGAGGGTTGTCACCGTCAACCCCACAGTGCGACACAGAGCAGCGGCGGGGCCGGAGACGGCGCCAGGCTGGGAGGGGACCCTGGACAGGCTTCAAAGTTCAGGGGCGGACAGGGACGGGCACCAGCGGCTCCAGGGACACGGGCTCGAGGCCAGGCAGTGCCGCCGGCCTTGACAAGCCCGCAGCCCGCCACTCCGCTCGGTGTTTTGGGGAAGTGCCGGGATGCAGCTGGGAGATGCCCAGGCGCGGGAATTGCAGCGGCCGCATCCCTCCCGCTGCTCCTGGCACCCCCGACAGCAGCTTGGCTGTCTGCCGGCGTCTGCAGCCCGTGCTGCCGGTGCTCCCAGCACAGGAATTCGTGTGGGTCCCTGCCTGGTGGCTCCCGGGGAGTGGCAGTGCCACCCGGGGCTGGCGCCAGCCCGGTGACCCCCCTACCGGAGCCGCGCGGTGCTGGGGTTGTGCAAACACCTTCGGGAAGGGGCCGCAGCCAACACAGACAGCCCAGAAATCTGCTGGCACAGCCCATCGAGCCCGGCCCTGCTCCCCGGCCCTGTGCCGGTGGCTGCCAGGGCTGGGCGGGCTCGGGGAGGCAGCACGACCCTCTCAAAGCACCACGTGGATCCAAAGCCTTTGCCTGTTCCCATTCTCTTTGTGCTGATCCTGACCAGCATCGTGATAAACACAACAGGGTCCAGCCCTGGGGGTCCCGGACCTGCCCTCAGATCCCAAGGCCGGGATCCTGCAGCCTGAGCTGCCCATGACCTTGGGGCGCCACATTCCGCTGGGTCCCTGCAGCACAGTGGGGACAGCAGGAACACAAGGATCCCTGGGACTGGCTCCGGAACCCACCCCAGAGTGCTGGGTTCTGGCTGAGCAGAGCTTGGGGCAAAGGGTCTGGGTGGCACAAAGCTGTTCAAGTCTCCTCCCAGAGCTCCAGAGCCCCATGTGCTCCCCCCACAGCGACCTCAATATCTGTTTTGGTCATTGCCAAGAGCTGCTCCAGCTGGACCCGCTCCACAGGCTGGCTGGAGGAGAGGGACCCTCTGCCATGGATGCATCTGCTTGGCTGTTCCAGAGCAGAGCGAATGTCTCCACTGCTGACATCCCCGCGGTGTCTGTGCAGGATAAACGCTCCGCTGCTTTATTGGAAACACCCCCAAGTGGGTTTATAACACAGGGTCTGAAACTAAAACCGATGCAGAGGCCCCGGATAAGCGAGAACTGAGGAAGATGACAGCGTGGTGGCCTCGGAGCCGCTCTCTGCTCCGAGCTGCAGCTCGAGCCGACCCTGCAGATCACGGCGGCATCGGCTTCCTCGAGGCCGCGCCAATGTACGTCATCCGAGCAGCTGGCCCAAATTCAGGCAAGTCATTTCCAAAAAACCCGACGTTTCACTGTCATGAAAATGTCACCGTTTATTTCCCAGCTCTCCGCAGCGCCGGGAGGTCGAGCCCGCCCGTAACCCCGCTCTGCGAAAAAGGGCAGGAGAATTTCCCAGCACGGGGAAAAAATGCGCTGCTCTGACATTCCTGCCTGCGGATGCCTCTCGCTCCTGGAGGGAAGCAGGTTTCCAGCAGGACTTGGTGATTTTTATACGGCTTGATTTGCAAAGCTGCCTTCTGGTGATACTCAGGGGGGGTGAGTCCCCCCTGCCTGCCCCAGACCTCCCCTCCTGTGGCACTGAGGGGGTCAGGGCCGAGTCCCTGATGGTGGGAGCTCAGCTCAGCTCCATGACCTTCCTTAGCATGGATGCCCCGAGCACAGGGGTCCCTCGTGGCCAGTAGGAACCTCAGCCAGAGCACTGGGGCCCTGCAAAGCAGCCAGCAGGTGCCAGGTGAGGGGCTGTGGTTCCACAGGGAGCGCAGCTCCCATCCCACCGCTCTGTCCCAGACCCGCACAGCTCCCCGTGGGCATCTCATCCCACCAGAGCTGAAAATCCCTAACTGAGACTTCTGACGTGATGGCACGTGACAAAAAGAGTATAAACACGAGCTGTTGCCAAAGTGCAACCCAGAAGCAGGAGCAGGGGAGCAGGAGAAGCTTGGCAGTGTGTGGGGAGCTGCCAGCCCTGGGCATCCCAAGGTCCCCTCCCTAGGGGCCGGGCAGGAGCTGGCGGAGCAGGTCGATGACGAGCGACACCGGCTGCACCGTGTCATACTCCGCAAACAGGTGACAGAGGTTCTCCGAGTCTTTCTGGCTTTTGGCCACGAACCCGAAGATTCTTTGGAGAAAGGAGAGAGGCTTATTCGGTTTGCATCCAGGAATCTGAAGGAATACGCTGAAACCAGCCCCAGCCACAAAGCCAAATCCCAGTTCCAACAATTCCACCTTGGCCCGCTCCCCAATCACGTTTCCTTGGAAGCCAAGCAGCCGGGAGGAGCGTTTCTGGCAAGGCTTCCCCAGCTGTGAAAAGATTCTTGAGCACAAGGTAGAGCCAGATATAAACTCCCTTCCTGAGCCCAGTGTGAGTCCCTGGGAAGGCTGTGGGATTTGGATGGGGGGGGGTTCTGCACAAGGGGATGTGGAGAACGGGGCTCAGCCAAACCTCTCGCCCAAACCTACAGAGCAAACCCGCCCTAAAACTTCACCCACCGGTCCCACCCCTCATCCGGCCACCACAGTAACTTCTACTGAATCCTCTCTTCATTTTTAAGCTGATTCTTTGGTGTTCTGCAATGCAACTGCTTCCCAAAGCAGCATCATTCCCCCCACATTCCAGCCCCCAGCTCCGTGCGGGAGGTCCCCGTACAGGTCTTACCTGGAGGACTTGCAGTACTTCTGCCACCTGAGGGAAGAACAGAATTGGGGTTGCTCAAAGGCTGATGTTTAATTCATTCCATCAGCTGCAAAGCCGAGGGTTATGTTTAGATCCACCCCGGGGCGTTTTTTTGGGATTTGGGATTTGAAGCAGTGCAGAGGTGCTGGGAATGGCAGGGAAGGGAGCACAGCAGGCAGCTCTGACCGGCCCAAAACTCACTTTCTGTTCTCAGGGTCCATCCCACAGAACCTGATGGCAGCCAAGGGGTAGTGTCTCCTGAAAAACACCCTGGAAGAGGAGAGGGAAAGGGTTACGGGAGGGAAGGGCCCAGGCAGGAACAGGATTATGCAAATCCAAGCCCTGTCACGGCCGCTGGGGAATGGGGGTCCCAAATGGCACCCCAGAACCCCAGCCCTGGGTCCAGCTGCCTCCTGCCTCCCACCCCTGAGATGCTGCCATGCACAGCCCTGCACTGTAACGAGGGGGATGAGCGTTTGGGTTTGTCCAAGCAGGGCAGCTTTTCCCGAGGCTGGGAGACAGGGACAGGGCTGGGTGGGCACAGGGGAGCCGCCTCCCCACGAGCCCCCCTCGGCCACCCCCTCAGCCCATCCCTGGGCCCTTACTTCCTCTGGACATCGGTCAGGGTGACGCCCTGCTCTGCCACCCTGAAGTGCACCAGGGTGGGCGTGGGCGGCGTCTCCAGCTCCAGGATGCAGGAGATTCCCTTCAGGATGGCCGGGGCTCCCGTCAGCGTCTCCACGTTCACCGAGCTGAGGTACAGGACGTTGCACACTGCAAGGACAGCACAGAGCCCGGCTCAGAGCGGGTGACATCCAGGGCTGGCCCCCCTGGGGGGATCAGATCATCCTGCAGAACCCTCAGCGGAACCCGGGTCAGCTTTGTTTTGACGAAAATTAAAAAGATCGGGTGACTCAGAAATTCTTCACCAATTTAGTTTTGGTTTACTTTAATTCTTCGCACTAATTGTTGTAAAAGTCAAAGTATTTAATTTCCCGTTTCTAAATGTCACATTTGGGGCTTTTTTTTTTTTTTTTTTCCTGTTTATTACATATTTCCTTTAATGAAAAGCAGAAATACCCCAAGCCAACGAAGGGCTGAAGGCCAACCTAAAACATGACATTTCAGGCTGATTGAGCTGTTTAAAGGGCTGTTCTGGGTCAAACTAAACTTTCCAGCTTGCCAACTGATTTTTCAGAATTTCCAGCAAAACAAAGCCGTTCCCCCGGTTCCCTGGTCTGTGCTGTGACCCATCCGTGTGGTCTCCTGCCCTTCACTCTCTGTTCTCACCCAGGCTGGGGTGCACAGACCCCTCCCATCCTGCTCTGCAGTATCCACGTGTCCCCCAAAAGGTCCCTCAGCAATTCAAGCAGCCCCTGACCGCCCCATCCCTCTCCTGAAGCTCCAGATGTTCCAGCCCCATTGAAGCCCGTCAGGAGAGAGGCTTAAAAACCAGGAGCTGTTTAAAACTGTGGGAAATGGGGGCCTTTTCTCAGCCTTGTGGCCTCAAGAACTGTGTTTTCTAGTATCTTGAGGACCCCAAATCTCCTTTCCTTAAAAAACAGCAGGTTCCCTTACAGCCCAGGGGCGGGGATGTGGGGAGATCCTGCAGGTATCTTGGGGAAGCTGGAGGGAGGTGTCACAGGTCCCCACCAGTGTGTGGGGGTGACCTGCTGCTGTCACAGGGTGCCCAGGGCTCCAGCTCTTGCCAGCTGGGCAGCTCATGCCCTCACCTGCAGTTTTCTTTGCCAGGGACAGCGTGGATTCAGGAGCACAGTCAGGGCTGTCTTCTCCGTCAGCGAGATCTGCAGGAGGGACAAGCAGGAGCAGTGACGTCACCTCTTTGGCCATTCCTTATCTCACAGAGGCCCAGAACTGCTCTAACTGCAGGGGCTTAGAGCAGTGATTGACTTAACTGTCCTCCACCTCCCCCTCCTGGCTCTGCTCACCCCTGATCTCCCCACTCCTCCTTCCCTCACCCACCCTCATCCCCAGCAGAAGGGAGTCACTGCTGGGCTGTCCCCAGGGCAGGGCAGCAGCCCCTTGCAGGGCACCTGGGGGGCTCAGACCCTACCCCAACTCCAGGACCTTCCCCCCTCCCCTTGGAGCATCCCTCCTGTCCCGTCACCTACCTCGGGTGGGGATGTTGAGCCTGCAGGGCAGCGCCAGAGGGATGATGGCGTGCTGGTAGACGAAGACAGAGAGGCTCCCTGAAACACAGAGCCACGAGCTGGGGGGGAAGGCTGGTGCCTGAAACCTCCCACCATGTTCCTCCACTCCCCAACAGTGTCCCAGGAAGCTCATTTTCCTACTGCCATGATCTCAGTGCCAGGGAAGTGCAGGCAGGACCAGGGGCTGGGGGGTGCCCGTGCTGCCAGGTGTGCAACACGCTCACCCCGGTGCTTCCAGGAGGCTTGGAGACAGCTCCTGGGGCTGCCAGGGCTGCTGTGGGTGATGGCACCATCCTTACCAAAATACAGGTCCTCTCTGGTCCCTTTCAGGTGCACCCCTTTGGTGGAGGACTCGATGAGGAAGTGCCGGACGAGGTCACTGCTGTCGTCACCTGCAAGAGGGACCAAAAACAGCGTCAGCACCAGCCCTAGAGCTGCTCTCTCCCCCCTGCCCACCCCTACCTGTCCCTGCTCTCCTCTGCCCACCCCTGCCCATCCCAGGGCATCACCAGAGCTCCTCTGTGGTGCCAGTGTGGTGCCAGACTCTGTGAGGGGTGGGATGGGCACCAACAGACACCATCAGTGTCTCCCCACACAACCAGAACCCTGCTGCTTCTCACCTGGCTTTAGTTTGCCCAGTTCCAGTTAAACCATTAAAGGAACCCCCCAGTTTCCAAGACAGTCCCTGTACCTGTCTGGCTGCTGGATGGAGAGCCGGGAACCTTCATGGCCAGTCCGAAGGAGCCCCGGAATGACGTGCTGTCCCGCACAAGGAACGTGCCTGGCTCCTTGTTCCTCAGCAGCTGGATTGCTGTCAGGGCACAGGCAGGGGCTCAGCCAAGCACAACAGGTGGGACCTCCCCACTCCTGTGCTCAGGGGGCAGTCGCTCCTTGGCAGCAGCAGGAAAGACTCCGGAGCACTCGCCAAGGACGCGCCAGTCCCTCCTGCAGCACCAACTGTGCTCCTGCAGGGCCCTGCCTCGGTCCCGTGGGTCTCTGTGGTCCCCAGAACACTCAGCCCCTGCCCAGGCTGTGCTGTGGGACAGCACAGGGGCAGGAGAAGCTTTTCTGGGCTTGAGGGGGTCACAGAGGGGCTGTGGCACAGCCCATGTTTCTGAGTCACACCCCTTGGAGTAAGAGGGTCTCTCCACCCCTATCAGCCCCCAGTAGGTTTTGAATTGCCCTCACTGAGTCCCTGGGGACACAGGAGGACTCCACCCCAGGGCACAGGCAGGAGCCCAAGGTGGGGTCACCCCCCCAGAGCCCCTTGCTGCCTCACCTCGGTCCCTGCTGATGCTTGGCTTGAACCAGTACTTTGATGTGTCCATCACGAACTTCATGGTGGGCTGCCCAGCCCTGGGGGGACCTGCAAGAGATCCCACGGTGTCAAGGCCAGCAGGGACCTGCAGGACCTCCAGAGGTGACAGAACCCAGCAAAGACATTTCCCTTTCAGGCTGGTCAGGGCTGAAGGTTTTTTTTTTCAATCCTTTTGAATCCTTTCTTCCCCAGTCCTCAGAACAGCTCACTCTCCACGTAATTATCTCTCTTGGCAGGCTGTGATGTAGTGCAGAGAGGGGCACATGGAATCCCTTGGCTGTGCCAGCCTGCCCAGCCCTGCGCAGTGCACTGGACCGTGGGCTTTACAGCAGCCGAGGATCTGACCCACACACCCTCCTGCTATTCCCATAAGGATCCCAATTAAAAACCCTCTGCCCCGAGAGCTGCCTCTGCTCATCTCCTCCAAAGAACAATAGCCCCAGTGTTTGCCCTTGAATGAGGGACCTTGTGAACTCGGGTACCTTTTGGTGTCCTCAGAGCAAGCAGGAACCCCAACCCCTCCTCCCGACCCTGTCTGGACCCACAAGCCACGAGGACAGGACAGAAACAGGTGGTTTCTCACTCTCAGGTGCTCTAAACAGGTGTATCTGCATTTCCTCGAGGGAACAGGGAGTTCCTGCCTGCTGAGCCCGTGCCCCAGCACAAGGTGCAGCTCACCCAGGGTCACCAGGCAGGAGCTGGAGACCACCCGGGAGCCCCGGGGGGACACAGCGAGGAGCCCCAGCTCCGGCAAGGACCTTTCATGTCTACAACCCACAGCTAAACCAGAGGGAAAATGAGGTTTGCACCCCCCCCCCGCCTTTCACAGCAGCTGCCAGGGTCTGCAGCTCCCACCCCAGCCCTGCCCTGGGACTCACTGTCCGGGACGCAGGAGAGCGCAGGAGCCGACAGCGCGTTGTTCAGGCCCCCGAGCCTCGGGGCAGGGCTGCAGCCCGGAGGGGGGGCCTGCATGGCACAGCTGGGGGGGGCTTTGGTTGTCTGGGGGGATCCATCTCCTTGTTCCAGGCACCCGTTCACCAACAGCACCGGGATGTCGGCTGAGGAGGGGAGGATGGAGGGGGGGCAGCTGCTGGGCTGGCCCTTCTGGGCTGAGGAGGGGCTGGCGCTGGGGGAGCTGCCTGCCCTGGGCTGGGGGGGCCTCTGGCCGAAAGCTTGTCTGGAGTGACAGCCGGTGCCAGGGGAAGGGGAGCAGGGGCTGCCCAGGGAGCTGGCGGGGGACGGGCAGGCAGCGGTGGGAGCATCCGAGTCCTCGCTGTGCAGTGAGTGGGTGCTGCTGCAAGAGGGACAAAGAGCAGAGAACATCAAGGGGGGGTGTTGACACGCAGAGCCCACTCCCAGGGACTGCACCAGCTCTGTCAGCCCTCCAGCTCCCAACCTGAGGGAGTCAGAGCACAGCCCCATGCCCCTTCCATCCCCACCATCACCCCGAGTGGGGTGGCACAGGTGGCATTTACCTTCCCAGGATGTAACTGGTGTCGGAGCCGGGGCTTGTGGAGAGCTGGGACACCCAACTGCCCCTCTGCTGGGCCCTCACCACGTGCACAGGCTTCAGCAGGTTGTCAAAGCCCGGGGAGGTGCCGAGGGGGACGGTGTCGGTGCGCCCAGCCGTGCACTGCCGGGGCACTGAGATGCTCTCAGATGCTTTGCTGCAGCTCAGCGTGGCTGACTGGGAGCTCGAGGGTGGGCTGGAGAAAACCACGCTGTCGCTGGTGCTGTATTTGCCCCCGAGTGCCCCTTTTTGGGTGAGGAAGCCGCTGGTCTGAGGGGATCGGGAGAAGGGGGTGCCCGAAGGGCTGGGGGAGCCCTGTGGCAGCTCGGGCCCTGTGGCTCTGCCTGGTGTCAACTCTATGTACTTGATATCTGCAGGGAGAGAGAGAAGGTTATTAAAAATTTAGTGTCCAAATTGAGCTCCTTAGTAAAGCTCCGTGGGGCACACATGTCTGCCTGTTCCTCCTCCAATGAATTTTGGCTTGGGGGGGGCGAGGTCCCAGGGGACACCCCCATGCCCTTTGTTGAGATCCTTTGGGGTTTGATTCCTCACAGACCCCAAAGTGCATTGACTCCTCCCAGTGCTGGCAGGCTCCCAGGGAAGGGGGTTACCTGCAGTCATGTCTGGCTGCTTAGACCCCCCCCTCGCCAGCACTACCCAGCCAGGACCTGCAGAGACCTGCAGCCAGAGGTGGGTGTTCCCTCCAGCAGCCTCTCTGTTTGTACCTGACTCAAGAGAAAAACATCTGGCTGCTCCCTCTGGGGATGACGTCAGGTTTGGAGGGTGCTTGGGGCAGCAGGAGTGTGGCCCTGCACACCCTGGCTGAGCAGAGGAGGAGGGGGATGTCACCTGGGCCTGGGAAGAGGAGCAGGGGGATGTCACCTGGCCCCAGATGCAGCTGAGTGGTGGTGGACAGGAGTCAGAGTGAATCCATGTTGGACAAGGGCAGTTGCAGGGCTCTTGGTGTCCACTGTGGGACCAGCCACGCTGGCAGCAACCACAGAGCCCCGGACAGGGGCTACCTCTTCCTTTCTCCCATCCTGCACAAATCTCTCTAGGGAAGTAACTTCCAAGGCAGTTTCTGTGCCTGTGCCCTGCTGTGGGATTCTTCCTGCTCTTCCATTCGTGCTCAGAGCAGGCCAGGCACGTCCAGCCCCTTTTCTTGCCATTAGTGATACAGGAACACACCTGACGCAGCATCTTTTGTCAGAGAAAGCAAAACCTCACGGCCAGGACAGTGTGCCTGGCTCCCCAGGTGCCTGATTTACGTCAGGCCCTGGCTTCCCTGGGCAAAGCCATAATTTCTGTCTGGGCTGGAACACTCAGACTCGATTTAAGCACTCGCAGGGATGGTGGATTCCCCCACCCAGGGAAGCTGCTCCGCTGGTTAATCACTCCAGTGCCAGAAGTTTGCGCCTCCCTTCCAGTCTGGACGTGCCCAGCTTTGCTTTTAGCGCCTCGTTCTCGCCCTGCCATGGAGTTCAGGGAAGTTCCCCTTCTCAAAAGTGCTTCTTGGAGAGGGGAAAAACCTTTTTTTGCTGCAGCAAAGACAAACTGCTCTGACAACCCTGGCGTGATGGGACGGACCTGCCGGGTGGGAGCTGGACGGGCAGAGCAGCCCACTCTGCTGGCCCTGGTTACTGCGAGGAACAACCAGACCTCTGGGGCATAGAGCTGGATGAGCAGGAAAAGCACAAGTCTGTGCAAAAGTCACTCCCCGAGCCCCCTCCTCCATGCCAAGCCCGGTGCGGGGTTGGAGAGGCACGGCCAGCGCCGAGGAGGCGCCGGGTGAGCCGGGAGGGCTGGTCCCCAGTGGGAACACGGCTGGACCTCGCCAGGACGGAGCCAGAGCCACAGCCTTCCCCCCTCCACAGCCTCTGTGCCAGCAGCAGCTCCTGGGAGCGGCTCCGGAGCCACATGTCCCGGTATCAGCGCACAAACCCTCGCAGCGAGGCCGGATGCTGCTTGTCAGTGTCTGCTCGAGGGGAGAGAGAAATGGGGATTTTAATTGTCCTTTAAAGAACTGGCAAGCATCTGCACACCGTGCTCAAGAGGCCTTTTACCTCCTACTTCTCTGCCTCGGCTCCCCTTATCACCTGGGGTTAAACCTCAAATATTTGCTCAAGACCTTGGCAAGTTTTCCAGCACCGAGGAGTGGCAAAAGCGCCACAGACAAGGAGACCAGATGTCACGCAAGCTGAGATCTGAGATCTCTCCTCTCCTCTCCTCCAGATTCCAGAGGGATTTGTGACTCTCATGAACGTGTCTCCTGTTGCTGCAGCATTTGTCACTTTTAAAGCTTCCTCGTGGGTTCCATTAACCAAGGACAAGCCCTTCTGACTTCTCTGGTCACCATCGGTCCCTGCCACCCTCACATCAGGGCACAGGTTGCAGGGCTGGGCTGGGAGGAGGTGGGTGAACAGGGACCCTGCGCAGTGGGAGGAAGTTTGTGTAAAATCCAAGAGCTGTTCAAAGAAAATGTAAGCTGAAAGTGAGGCTTTTCCCACTGCATTTGTGGCCGGAATTCCAGGTGTTCTCTGTGAAGCTGCTCAGGCTCCATCCCCCGAGCGATGCCCTGAGGGAGGCAGAGAAATGGCTCCAGGCACTGAGCAGCCAGAGCTGAACTTGCACTTTGTCACAGCGCTTTATCTGCAAGGCCACTCAGTCCATCCCAGGGGGAAACAGGGACACTGTCTGCCCTGGAATTGCCTGGCTCCTCGCTGGAGCACCAGGACCCTCCCCCTTCCCCACAGTCCTCGTGTTTGCACGAGGGCTCAGGGAGATCAGGATTTTTTTTCGTCCCTTTACCATCCTCTCGTTTCGCCTCCCTCTGGAAAGGGGCCTGGGGACAGATTGTCAAGGTACTTCCACGTGTAAAGACAGGGACAGGCAATAAGGCTTTTGGGAAACAGCAAGTCTGTGTTCTCAGGCCCCTGAACCACCCCCAGTGCACCAGGACAATGCCAGGGGCTGCCCTGTGCACAGGGTGCTGAACAGCTAAAACCAGCAGAAGAGCCCAGGCAGGAATGTTTGGATCAGGAGCAGCTCACAGATCAGAGCTTGGATTGCAGGGATGTCAGGGAAGTGTTGCACAAGGGTTCACGTAGAGAACCCGTGAGCAGAGAACGGGCTGGTATGTGCTGCTGGTGCCTTGCCTATGCCAGGTATGCTGCCCCAGGAGTGCACAAGCCCTGGAAGAAGAATTTCCCTGGCAAAGCCATTGGGAACATTTAAATGGGGTCGCTGTGTAACACTCAGTACCCTTAGCCCAGGGCCCTGGAAATCTGGCTGTAAATCCTTGTGCTCCCAAGGGTCAGGTGTGACCCTGGGAAAGGTTCTGCTGGCCGTGGGGGAATGAGGGGAGCAGGGTCCTCACATGGCACCCAGAGCCCAGGGCCTGCCACTGATGGTGACAACTGGGATTAGGAGTTTTCCCAAGTCCCATTTCCAATGAGGAATGTTTTCTCCGAACACAGGGAAACAAACATCAGATTGAATTAAAGGCTGTTTTCCTTGTTCCCTTCTGGATCCCTTTGAGCTGGCTGGGCATGAGATATGTGAGCAGTGATCAAACCAGGGCCGTGGAAGCATCAGAATTAGGCAGAGCCTGGATACACAGCCTGTCCTGCTCCTTAAAATGGAGCCCTGATGTCAGGAGACAACCCCCCACATATGATCCCACTGAGGACAGTGCAGGATGTCCCTGATACCCATTTCCAGCCCCCCAGGACCTCTTCCTGCCCACGGGACAGGGTGTGTGCCCTGGGCTCCTGCTGCCCCTGGCACAGGGTCTTCACTGGGTCAGAGCTGCTCTGGCTCCAGCCCCTGAGTGGTGCCTTTTCCTCACCTATCACCTCTGGCTCCTGTTTCTTGGTGGCTTCAGCATCACCCCAAACAGCAGGCTGGGCTGGATCCTTGAGCGGCTGGAAGGTGGGATCGATTTCTAGGATCAGCTTGTTGAGAGCCTCTATGGATATGTCCAGGGAGGGAGGCGCTGGCTGAGCCTCAGGATCGGTGCTGGTGTTCTCCTCCTGCTTCAGCTGACACGGAGCAGCGGATCTCCCCACGGAGGAATCCTGCTGGCCCTTCCCCTGCTGTGTGTGAGCAGCCACACGCTCCAGCACGGGGTGGGCTCCATACAGCCTCCCCCCGGGCAGCAGGTGAGCCTTGGGGTGCACCACGGAGGGGGGGTCAGCCCAGGACTCCGTGGAGTAGTAGACGTACTTGCTGGACAGGGTGGAGCACCCCGGGTACCCCGCTGGGTGCAGGCTCTTGCTCTCCTCGGGAGAGGGAATGCACACAGTCTGCCCCACGCGCAGCACGTGGTTCTGTATGACTTGGGACATGCTTTGGTTTTCCGGTCTGACAGCTTAAGAGTCCAAGGGGAAACCTCCTCCTCCTCCTCCTCCTCCTGCTGCTCCTCGCCTCCTTCCTCCACCAGGGACCTCAGACCCCTCGTCTTCAAACCAGGCTCCAGCGGAAGAGGAATCTGAGGAATGCAGAGAGGAGCGGTTACACAGGCATGCCCCGGGCAGGAGCAGACTTCAGCGGAAAAGTTCTATAAAAACGGGGATTTGGAGCTGCAAAGCTGGAATTCGGCTCATAAGAAAACAAGTCACCCCGTCCTGCTCTTCCACCCCCTCCAGCCCCTTCTCCCGGTGCCACAGCGTGGCCGGGCAAGCGCACCGAGCGCTCGCTGGCGACAGCTTTTCAGGTCTCAGAGGCCTGAAAACGACATCCTCCTCTATTTGCTGATTTTCTGGATTAAGAATGAAATTAAGTCTCCCTCTAACAGTCTTCCTATGGGACTCTGACCCTCGGAAGCCATCTGAGGGCAGCCAGCGAGCCCGGAGCCCCGCGGGCACAGAGCCGGAGCTGCCTGCCAGGGCAGTGTCCTGGAGTGGGTGTACAGCTAATCCAGGATTTCTTTTTCCTGGTACAAGGCAAGCCTGGAAGCCTGAGTACGTGGCTGCTGCCTCAGTCATGGTGCTGCTTGAGGAATCTGACTGCTAATACACTTTGAAGACTCCTGGGCTCTGCTTTAGACAGAAAGTATATTTTAATTCTCCACTATAGACCCCCATGGCAGGAGGGGGGATTCCCTCGGGGATCAGCGAAAAAGGGTCTCAGGGCACTGGTTGGAGGTGGGGGAGTTGTCCCACTGCATCAGCAACAAGTGGGATCTCTCCAGCTGCTGCTGCCCTCCTGCTTGGCAGGACTTGTCCCTCAGCATCACGTCCTGCCACCAAACACAGAGGGACCCTCTGGAGCCAGAGGAGGACAATAACACCATCCCACCACAGACAAACTAACTCAGCATCTCCATGTCGGGACATCCAAGCCCAGCACATTCCCTGTGCTCACACTGCACCGGCTGCAGGGCAGCATTCCCATCCCCTCCAGTCCCTGGGAAGGACAGTGCCAGTGGGGACCACGGGCAATCCAGAGCCAAAGGTTTGCTGGCAGGAGTCAATCCCACAGCTCAGGGCTCCCTCTCCATATCCATATCCTGTACTTCACAGAACATTCATCCTTCCCTGCACCAGTCTCCGGTGGCAGAGTTATTTACTCGCCTATCCTGGGCTGATTAAGGATGGAGTCACAGGATTAGGAAGGAGACACGTTGCTCCAGGGCAGCCGGTCCCTCAGCCCCGTGGGCGCAGCAGGACCTGGGCTGGTTCCCTGCGTCACGTCTGTAATCGGTGACTAATTGCCCCGCCAGGTGTTGGGAGCTGGTTTGGAGTGGGGTCCAAACAGCCCAGCTTTGCCTTGGATGGGTTACATAACCCTGGAGAAGCCTCACTTCTTGCTGGAGAGACACCCGGAATATCCTGGGCTCGTGAAGATTAGGGAATTAAAGCAACACATCGCTGCTGTCAGCACACAGCCACGGGCGAGTCACGGCAGGCAAAGGCCTCTCCAGGGCTTCCCAGAGCACTGCAGGAGTGAATAAATACCTCCACCCCATCCACCTTCCTGCCAGCCCAGCCCCCGCGGTGCCTCCTGAGCCTCTGAGAGGTTTAATTTACAGGGCCGACAGGTTGGTCCGTAGGAAAGGCTCGGGAGCAGGCAGGGAAACACCTCTGGAGCGTGGATTAGACAGGCCCAGAGCACCTCTCTGAGCTGCCACTCATTAATCCTGCCCTCTTGGAGCCAGGTCTGCCCCAGCAGCGAGGAGAGATGGATATATGCCATCACACCACCAGCTCTGCCCCCGGGTCAGTGGGATGCCGGGTGAGCAGGATGCCCACCTTGGTCTCCTGCCTTGGAGGCTCTGTGTGCCATCACACCACCATCTCTGGCACAGGTCAGTGGGATCCTGGGTGAGCAGGATGCCCACCTTGGTCTCCTGCCTTGGAGGCTCCGTGTGCCATCAGCGCCGCCGGCTCTGCGTGAGAAGCGCAGCGCGGCACGAGGGCTCGGAGGGAGCGTTGGTTAAATATAAAAAGAAGAGTCATTCCAGGTCAAAAACGCAAGCAAGATGGAGTGAAAATTGGATTCTCCCCTGGGGAGAAGAACTGCCTGGCTCCAGTCAGCGTCCGCAAGACGAGGCTGGTTTTAATTTAAGTAGGTACAGAAATAACGTGCAGGATGCATGAACCGGGGCTGTCGGGGCTTCCAGGAGCATGCACGCAACAGCTTCCCTCCTCTCTTGTACTCCTGCCCTGAGTTTTTGATCTTTCCTATGCCTGATGCTGCCAGAGTTAGCCTCCAAACCTCATTTTTCCTCCCTTCCCTTCTCTGGGTTGAAGCGAGAGGTCTCCCAGGCTCCTCGCAGGAATTTTGAGCCTCGGCTGTGGGCTCTTCTGCTTGGAGGAGCAGAGGAGAAGGGCTGTGGCAAAGGAGGGGGATCACAGGGTGGGTGCTGGCCACCAGCACGGCACAGCCGTGGGACAGGTAAATGCAACCCACAGACATCAGGACTTTCCGAGAGCAACTGGGAATGGCAGTGGCCCCGTGGCCACGAAGGGGACAAGTCATAGATTTTTTTGGATGCAGATGGACACTCTCAGAAAGGCTCCTGGCAAGGCAGCTCCCTTTTGCACCAGAAGACCCAGTTTGTGGGGCAGGAGCTGCAGCTCAGCCCAGTAACCCCGGTTCTCCCCTCCACCTCCAGCCCAGCCCCCCGACATGAAATCACCACCCCCCTGACAGGAGAAGGAGCAGGGCTCGGGCTGTCAGGAGCGGGACCGGAGCACCCACGCGGGGCAGAGGCGGGTGTGTGTTTGGAGGGCTGCGGGGCGCTCCTGGGCGCGGTGGGAGCAGCCGGCGCCCCGGGGCCAGGGCTGTGCCGACACACCCCGGCTGGGCGATAAACGCCCTTCCCAAACCCGCCGGGCACGGCAACAGCCCCGCCAGCCCGAGGAGCAAAGTCCCTCCTGCTTCATCTGCCGGATCTCGGGGAGCCCGGTGGGACCCCCAGAGCTCTGCCCCGGCATCAGATGGGGCAGGGTAAGAGCGGAGCTGGCAGCGCTGCCCCGCAGAGTCCCCCGGCAGCTGCAGCAGAGCCCTGGGGGTCCCAGCGCGGATATTTGGAGCCCAGACATACGAGCTGGGACAGAGCCTCCTTCCCTGCCTGCACAGACCCCAAAACAGCTCAGCCAGCTGCCAAGTCTGGTTGTTTTTCCTTGCAACATGAGCCCTGAGAGCCTCCCGATGACAAGCCTGTTACACATCCCCCCGCCAGGAAGGGCAGAGGGAACTGCTGGGACACCCAGGATTTCCAGAGCTCATTGCACCCAACCCGATCGCAGCTTGCCTGGATTAGCGGGGCGTGCTGAGGGGGGTTGAGGAACAGAAGTTCCCATGGTTATGCTGTGTTTTTGCCTGCAGAGCAGGGAGAGCCGCGGTATCACATGGCAGATATTAATAAACACCCCCAGCTCTGGGAGGTTCCAGCACCTGGGCACGAGGCAGCTGATGCCCGAGGAGGGAGGGAGAGAAAGGGTGGCTGTCAGAGCCTCCTGCCTTGCTCGAACACGAGCAATTGGGAAGTTCAGCGGCAAAAGAAGCGTTTGTGAAATCCCAGGCAGCATCTTGGTATCTGAGCAGCCCCCGGAGCCGCACAACGGGGCAGCATCTCTGTGAGCAGTGCCAGGGGAGGATGTTTTGCTCTCCAGCACATCCTGAGAGCATCCACAGCAGAAGCCACCCCCGCCCAGCGACCTCCCTGCAGATCCCCCAGTGCATTGCCTGTTTAGCAACATTTCAGGCTTCTGGAAGGGTCTCCAGGGATTTGGAGGAGGAGGGTTATTAGTAATGTCGAAATCACTCCTCTGACATCTCCCACTGCCTTGCTCCCTTTTCCTCTCCAGGGATGGTTCTTTCCACTTTGGCAAGAGCTTCTCTGGGTACAAGAGGAGCAGCAGAGCCTGGTCCCCCTTACCAGGAGAGGTCCCAGCACAGCCTGGAGGAGTTTCCCTTCCCCTCTTTGTGGGTGAGCAGTGGATGTAGGAGGCTCAGGGACAACAGCGTCTTTGGAACAGGGTGTCTGTCCAAAAATAGACTAAATTAGCAAATCCTGAGAATGTTTGAGATGAGTTACAGGAACATGAGTCTTTCAAGACACACTAACAAGCTCCTTGGGGCACCAGCCAGGATTTTTCCCTTCTGAGACCGTGGGCACATCTCCCTTCATCCCTTGTGGGATTCAGTAGTGTTAGACAAAGGAAGCTGTGGCTGTTTTCCTGCATTTCAGGCGTGCCAAGGGAAGGGAGAGGATGGGAGCTGCTCCACGGGGGGCTCTACACACTCCAGGTGTTTCAGAAGGGCCCTGTACCCCTGCACTCCCCCAGGCACACCCTGCAGGGCTTGAATCCTTGGAAAGCAGCAGAACTGCTTCAGGCTCTTCCCCTGGGCCCAGACAGTACAAGGTGGGGTTAGATTCTCTTCCTCCCCTCCTCAGACCTCCATCTTCTTCCCAGTGCATCGCCTACACTGGCAGTAGATCCGCAGTGCTCCTGCCTGGAGCCCTGGCTGCGCAGTTCCCACACCATCCTCCCTGTTCTCCCTCTCCTCTGACACAAGGATGGAGCCCCAGAACCCGCTTCTGGTTTTGGTTTCACGGCGTTTTTTTTCCTGCCCCGATTCCCGGAGTGCTTTGACCTCCCCGACCGTCTGCGGTCCCAAAACACCCTGAGCAACCCACACAAGCCCCGCACCAACCTCTGCCTCAGCCACTCAACACTTCTGCTCCCACGTGGCACTTTTATTGCCTTGAGATCTGCACACTCCCCACACCGCAGCCTCCCGTGGGGAGGAGGCAGGAGGCACCGGAGCAGGCGCTGGGACACGCAACAACACACGATCCCAGCTGTGTCCCCCCCGGCTGAGCCCACTCGAGGCA